GCCACAGATTATGCAACCCGTTACGCGATAACAAAGGCCATGCCAACCAGTTCCGCCACTGACGTTGCAGATTTTCTTCGTCATGACGTCATCTTACACCACAGTGCACCACGAAAGCTGCTTACAGACCGCGGCCGCTCTTTCTTGTCCAAAGTTGTCGACGACCTCCTTCGATCGTGTGCCACAGCGCATAAGCTATCAACCGCCTACCACCCGCAAACTAATGGCCAAACTGAACGTCTCAACCGCACGCTCACAGAGATGCTTTCGATGTACATCTCCGAAGATCATTGTGACTGGGACACCACGTTGGCCTATGTGACTTTCGCATATAATTCATCTCGACATGACACCACGTGATTCTCGCCTTTTTATCTTTTGTATGGTCGCGACCCCGTATTGCCATTCGAAACCACCTTACCTCTCAAGCCATCTGCTTGCGAGTACCCTCGCGAAGTAATTTATCGGGCTCACATGGCTCGTCAAGTTGCCCAGTCTCGTCTCACCAGGTCACAGGATATGCAAAAAGCCCACTACGACCACCGGCATCGTAACATAACGTTTGCCCCAGGTGAACGCGTGCTCCTATGGTCACCTTGTCGCCGTGTAAGTCTCTCCGAAAAACTTTTGGCTCGATACGCAGGACCCTACTTAGTCTTACGCCAAGTTAGCAACGTCAACTACGAGATAGCGCCATTGCAATCCAATACGTCACCAAGTTTGTCACTTGTTGACATTGTTCATGTTTCGCACATGAAACCCTACTCCTGTCGCACTTCTTCGAACTCGCGCCGAGACGGCGCTCCAACGCGCGGGGGTCCTGTTACGAAGTAAAGGAAGATGAAGGACAGAATCAGCTGACAGGCCGCAAGTGTGCCAATCATCCATTGTGATTCTCGCCTGAGGTTGTTCCTCTGTAATTGGATTTATACAAAAGTCACTGACCCCGTAACAATATTTTACAAATAAAAGCCATTACGCCAATGTAATGTGGTTTAAAGTAAAAATCACTCACTCCAAGGCGTTATTCGTTCGGTGGCTACACTAGTGATCAGAAGGCTCTCAGAAAAGCGATAATAAACAAAGCAACAAACCCTTTGCTGTGCTTCCTGTCATCACTCATGTAGTTCGTTAGTCACCCTGGCGAAAGTAGGGTCTCAAACAACACACACGCAGACACTGCTGTAAATATAAACTGCAATTGATAGATGCGTATGAGACGAAAAAGTCAACTAAGCACGTAGTAACGTTCAGCAGCAGACGAAACGCCATCAGCTGTTCGTTCAGCTGCCTGGGTGCGACTGTTGTCAGACTTGAAGCGGCGGTTTCGCTAACTCTACCGGCTCTAGGCTTACAGAAACCACGCTACCACTCTAAAAGCATGCATTTTGCTGTAATCTCAATTTATAAAGAAGAATAATTAAGAAAAGTGTTCATTTATTGTATAGAAATAGGCATTTCTTGACCACAATTACGAGTACTCGTTATCAGGTGCTTTTCTACGTCCATGCAGTAAAGGGAGCATTCCAAGGCCTCCCTTGGCTAAGGAAGTGTGAAGGAGCATTCATGAAACGCAGTGGCTTCTTGAGTGGAGGAGCACCCTCCGCCTTGACATCGACAAGTCGAGCGGAGCCCTTGAGTGAAGGAGCGTTTGTGAATACGGCGGTGAGACCTCGACACACTTCGAGGGAAGCTGCTGCCGCGCACAGCAAGGGCCAACTTTCCTGGCACTAGCTCACTTTGAAGCAAGCCGCCGAATACAGTTCCCGCGTGGCCACATCACCGTGCAGCACCGGGTATTGCCTGCGACTACTAGGCCCAACGACCGAGGCATCCCCTATGTCAGCAACGATGTAAGACGACAGGCGACCACGTTGGCAATGGCACGGACCGCGACGTTCGTAGAGAAGGCCGAAAATTCCATCAAAGAAACGACCAATCAGCACATTGGCGGCAAAAGCAGCAGTGAAAATAATATAGGCCAGAGTCATGGGCGGAATTAAAAGCGTACATATGCTGGACCATGTTTAGGACGGTTTTGTTTGTCAAAGAATTTATTTGTAGGTTTAATTTGGTGTTGATTATATTTGTGATGTACATTTTTTGTATATATTGTTAGATTACCCCGAGGGTTTATTAAATGAGTTTTGTTGTTAATGGAGTCTTGTCTCAGTTCATCACCCGCAGCAGCAGCCCGTAATCAGTGACAAAGTGAGATTCAATAAAGAAAACTGTACAGTACGGTCTACTGTTAGAAGGAACACGCGAGCTCGTGGCGGGCGGGCCACGCGACGCTAACTGGTGGCGAGATTTGTAAGCGCGGCGCATGCACATAGAGTTGTAAGGACAGCGCCCGCCCAGTTTTGTCTGCTACTTCTCTGCCTTTGAACGGGAAAGCGTGGCAAAGCGCTTCCGTATTTTTGTGGTGCAATTAATCTAGTTCTCAGTCTGCCTGCTGCTCATCGGATTTTCAAAAAGCACTAAAGGTATATAATTTTATTTATTGTGGCAGTGTTCTGCTAGCTTTCAACAAAAACCCATCCTATCTTTCATATACTGCTCCCTAAAACAAGCCACATTTGATAACAGATAAGGCTATTAAGTCTGATGCAGCGAACATTCTAAGTTTGCTTTTGAGACTATAAAATATCGGCTCAAAAAAGAAAGAGAACGCGATTGGTATCAGTTGATTTATAATGCGAAAACGGAATGCGCGAATGGCCATGGCTCACTAGCGCATGCGGAGTGCATGGGCGGAAGAATAGCAGACAACGCGGGGCACGCACCACCTTGATGAACCAATGCGCATGCGCAACATTTCGAAATCTTGCCAGCAGTTAGTGCTTGGCGGACCGCTGGCCACGCATTCACGTGCTCCCTCTAACAGTGGACCGTACTGTACATGCTGCGGGGGAGCTAAGGAAATTAAGGAACATGTTCTGATTGAATGCGGCGATATCCACCCAGGTATACATGTGGGTACAAGCCCACATAAGGCTTTGGGTTTTAGGGACAAACATGAAAAGCTGAACACGTCCGCGATAGAAGTAAGATGGTTAGAGTACTGGTGGCAGAAAAGTAGAGATGAAAGACAGAAATAGTGGGAAAATTTGGTCTTTCTGCCTGAAGACGCAGAGAGATAAGACAAATTTATATTTTTCTTTGTTATAATAAGATTGATTTATTTGAAGTAGACAAGGCATTAGGCTGACGTAACAAGAAAGTTTCCATTTTTTTCTTGCGAGCCTGGTGGCACATATGTCAGTGCTTCGTTATAAAGGGGACGCTCACAGCATCCATCTATTCATCCATCCATCGGTTGTTCGCACGTGTAGTCGCCCTCGCCCATTCACATGTGTAGAGAGAGAGAGAATAAAATGAGGGAAAGGCAGAGAGGTTAACCAGAAATCGGAGCATCCAGTTTGCTACCGTGCACTAAGGGAAGGGAGAATGGGGAATAAAGATGGGAAAGAGAAAAGCGAAGTACACGTGCAAAAAAGGGAAAAAAAAATGGGCTGGGGAGCTATAGCCTATTCAATAGGCCACTACCACACAAAAAGTTCAATAAGGCCTTCAATGATTTTCTGTGCGAAGACAGATTATGTCGCCTTTCAAGCACCGACTGTTCTGACAAAGGTCTCTCGTCAAGACGAGCTAACGCAGCAGCTAGCTGCCGTCTTTGCTAACTGAACCAATGCGCATGGTGTTCGAGAGCAGCAACAAAGAATGTGCTCAATCGTTTCATTGCTGCCGCAATGGTCGCAGGCAGCACTGTCTTTCATGCCAATTCTGAAGGCGAAAGCTTTGGTGAAAGCGATACCAAGCCACAGTCGGCAAAGCACCGTTGTCTCAAGTCGAGATAGTCCGGACGGAGGCCGAAGTCGACGAGATGTGTCCAGCCTGTGCAGTCGCATGTGCCGTAAGCACTCAGCGTTCCACTGGGATTTTACTTCTTCATTAGCGATTTTTGGGATTTTCATTGCAGCATAAGTACTTGAAAATGGAATGGATTCTTCTTTACCATCTTCGTGTGCTGATCGAACTGCTGCATTGACATGTTCGTTGCCTAATATGCCGCAGTGACTTGGATGCCACTGAAGCGTGATTTCGTGTCCTTCATCGAAGAGGTGGTGAAGTAACTCTCTAATTTCTAACACTAGTTGTTCATGAGGTCTCCGGCATAAGGCAAACACCAAACACTGTAGTGCTTAGAAGTGTGGCAGCTTGGGCTAATTAGTATGACGATAGTTATAGCGCGAGATCATCACGACGACACAGAGACAAGAAGTGTCCTTCGTGTCCTTCTTGTCTCGGTGTCATTCTGTTCGCGCGCTACAACTATCGTCAAGACTGTAGTGCTGCTTTGGAGTCCATGAACACTCTCCATTTCTTGGCTTCTTGGTGTTAAATGACTGCACTACATCGAGCAGCAAGTTCCGCAGCTGTCGATGACGTCTGGTGAGATAACCGAATCTTCGTCGTCGCTGTTGCAGGAAAGATCAACTCTGCAGACCCATCTACTTTAGTAGAAGCGTCAGTATATAAAAGGTTATGCTCACTGTACTTCTCATACACGTGTAGCGGATAACGGCGCACCACTTGACTGTGTTAGGTTAGGTTATAAGCACGACAGGTTCACCAGAAATGAGACGGCAGACACCCTGCCATGGTCGCCTGCATGCAATTGCAGAAAAAAAAGAACTGCCGGTCGCTTTTAATTATGCCTGCAGTACACGTGCAGTCCCTATTCTGCCGGCACATGTATTGCCAGCATGACAGACTCACCAGAAATGTGCCGGCACAAAAGTCACATGGTCATGGGCAGCCAATAAGACAAAAAAAAAAACTATCAGCAAATTTATTTCCGGGATAGTATGCCGGCTTCTGGCACTATAGTATATAGGAGCGGCCGTTCGAAATCGCTTCGTGAGTGTTGCCACTGCTTGCCTACAAGCGGTTGCGTCAGCCACAAAGATGAGAGCAAAAAAAGAAGAGCTCACCGAAGGCTTTGCAGTAAGACATCGGCTTTTCACGCTTGAATGGAAGGGTGACTGAGCATACACGCTGGATCGCGGAAAACCGGCAAGATTCACAAGTGTCGGGCGTCTCAATTGTCTCAATATCGTGAAAAAGCGTGACGGCGTAACTAGTAACAATATCAACGCACGCTGGAAATGATGCAAGCACAGATCACCTACCAGAGAGGTGTCAGCATCGGCGTGCCGGAGAGCTAACGAGAATGCATCCAGATGCGGCGGCGCTGCGGTCGCTTTCAAGATGCCTCTCCTCGCGCCCGCGTATCAGTCGTTTTTTGTTGCAAATATTTCACGCTACCCTGCGGAATATAACAAACTCTACCTGTCACAATTCTGGCGGTGCGCTGCAAAGGGTGTATTGGCACTGAAAACTAGTGTTTTCAATTCACTTCGCAGTATATCAGCTACGAAGCTTAGAGGATAGAGAATCAAGCTACTTGCCGTGAGCTCGACACCAAAACAAAGGCCGTGCACTTTTCAAATTTGATGCCGCAGTGTTCTCCGTGAAGTCTCTATGTACGTAAAGGTATCGGACCGTTATTTTTATGACTTGCGCAATCAAGGCCTAATTTTACAAGCAAAATAATTATTTTCTCGAAAGCGAAAAACAACATAAAAAATTAACACAACATATGCATTAAAGTTGAAGAAAACTGCAAGTTATATGAAACTCAGCTAAAGCAAGTGAATAAGGCAACTAAAGAGAACAGTAAATATACGATGATACAATGGGCATACATACACACGTAACATTGAAATTTCATTTGCAAACATATATACATTCACAAACCAGTTCACGAAAAAATTGATTTCTGCATATATGAAACAGTCAGACAGTGACATCACAGTTGGTAATAGGAGACTTATAACAATGTGAACAAGAAAAAAGTAAAATCACAAGATACAACAGAGTGTGATTAATGAACAATAACATAAAATAAAACCTTGTTCGCTGAGATAACACTATGACAGTTGCCCCGCTGTGGCGGTCTAGTGGCTAAGGTACTCGGCTGCTGACCCGTGAGTCGCGGGATCGAATCCCGGCTGCGGCTGCTGCATTTTCGATGGAGGCGGAAATGTTGTAGGCCCGTGTGCTCAGATTTGGGTGCACGTTAAAGAACCCCAGGTGGTCGAAATTTCTGGAGCCCTTCACTACGGCGTCTCTCATAATCATGTGGTGGTTTTGGGACGTTATATCCCACGTATCAACACCATGACAGGTAAGTCATACGTCTCAACTTCAAGAACTTCATTTTTTCTCTCTATTTTTTATTGGACACATTTTCTCCAGCAACGAGAAAATGCATTCTGGTCAGTGTAAAAAATATAATTATCTGATTTGTCACTTCCAGTCGATGGTGTTCACAGACGACCTTGTTTAACCTCTTCACTAACAGGCAAGCGATAAGGCCTCTTAGGCTGTCACTTTTCAACTTGTTGAAACTGAAGCAATAAGTGAATGCATCTTCCATAGCTTTGACCAGATCTGTTAAGGACTAGGACGGGTACATGAAGCATGATTCTGCCGGAAGCAAGCTGGAATTCTGAGTGAAGCAACAACCTGCTACTTTCGTTACACTTTGTCTTTTTCACCATCTTCCGAGCCACATACGCCCGTATTCACAAACGCTCCTCGACTCGACTTCCACCCTCCACTTGAGAGAGTTGAGCACTGCGCCACCGCTCGGCAGAAAATGACGCTGCGCGACTCGAGAATCGCAGCAAATTATTGCTGTTATGCGGTAACTTGTCGTGCCTAGAGAAGGCGCTCCCATCGGCTTTTTCAAGTGAAGGTGAAGCGTCGAGTGAAGGGACGTTCTAGAATGCGGGGGATAGCCACTGACGTAATAAGTGATCCAGGAGTCACTTTTGCATCCAATGAGATCAGTGTGGTCAGGGAGGGCTTCACAAGCAACAATAATTTCATGAACCTCATTGAGGTGCCCCACATCTAGCAGCTCATCCAGCTTCTGCAATTTCATTGAATTACTGTGGATTCCCGGACTAAGCTGCTCAGAACTCCAGAAGGTATGTTCCCTCAGGAGGGTGACTGTGCCAAACAGTAAAAACTGAGGCAATTCAGAGAGATCAAAAATTGAGTCAGCGAAGGGTGATCATTCGAGCCAGACATTTGCTTCAGAATTCCAAAAAGATTTTAAGTGCGTCTTGGCAAAGGCGAGACGTTGTCAAGTATTAATTATCAGCATCATCATCAGCCTGTCTACGTCCACTAAAGTGAGCTAGAATAGTGTAGTGGGCTTGCTGGGGTCCCCTGCTTGACGCCGGGTATGTCACAAGTGTGGTGGCGCCACCAGCGACTTCAATATAGAGCATTGCCTAACGGAGGCGTTGATGCTCAACTGAAATCATGCTTTTTGTGCGCTGTTATCGCATGCACTGGACGGAAATGTGCGCGAATTTCGGCAGTATAAACGGCGATGCTGATGTCGCTAAGACAATAAAAATAAAGAAAAAAAACTAGAGTGGAGCTAGGTGCGTAGGCCGTTGGCCTACATGTGCGCGTAGGTAACAATCTAGAACACTGTAGCATGGTGTATGCAGCTATACTGTTAGCTCGTTATTTGATGTTAAATGAAACACACCGAATACCGTCAGTACTCGTGCGAATAAAGCTGTAGAAAACATTCTTTTCATTAACTCTGTCGGCGTAACTCGTGCGATTAAACTGCATGCAGAACTCGATGCATGCAAGGGATGCTGTGCAAACATGAAATGCATTTAAATTCTCTTACAAGTGATAAGCAGCGATGGCGAACTTTTCAAAGCTTACGTTGCGCGGCTATCAATTGTAAACTAGATTCTTTGCATTTCTCGGGCCCTACTTTCGTCACGCACGCCTTTTACGAGCGTGTGAAATTATTAGTGATGCTGACCTTGGCACACACTCAGGAGTTTACCACGAGCTCTTAATGTTATACATTTCACAGCATTTAAAAATTTTCAGCTGTTCATTCTTTCTGCAGATCTCCATTATCTTGGCTCTGTAATTTGGCTACTTCTGCACTGAATATTCCTATGCAAAGACTGTAAAAATCCACTGATAAGAAAAACAGGAAGCCACTCTCCTCAAGTACTGGGCACAAGTACATGAAAATTTATTCATCAGATATATATAGGGCACAGTTGCTTACTGGATATTTCTTCTTCAGGAGCAGCGGCTCAACTTTAGATGCTTTGCATTTTCCTGCTTCTCGGTTCTATTGGAATGAATGCCTTTCACAAAACCACGTAACAATATAAAAGCTGATTACGTCTTTTGAGAGGCCAGGGGCATGTTGTGCGCACCCAACTTCTTGAGAAAACTTTTCTTTCACGATTTCAATACATCCAAATTGCTGTCAGAATGCAACTTGTAGCAAGAAAAGCACTGTGTAAAAATGTTTTCTAGCTTGCTCACAAAACTGTACAGGTGGGCTAGATGAATACAACAGTCCACCTTTGTCACGAAAGGTGGTTATAGATGAGTGAGGTGAAAATCTTCTCCTTGAGCTGGCATCGTGAGTAGTGTTATGCAAACTTCGCAGTTTGTTTTAATGACACACTTTCGCGCAATATAGCCAGCAACATAAAAAAATCAGCCTGGAATCACTTCTAGCAATATGCTGGTTGTGGTCAATAGTTGCTGGCACTACAGGCCCATTCACAGTGCTTGCACTGCCAACTGAATCGTCTTGTGGCAGTGTGTCAGTAGCAGCATCTTCTCCTTGAGCTGGCATCGTGAGTAGTGTTATGCAAACTTCGCAGTTTGTTTTAATGGCACACTTTCGCGCAATATAGCCAGCAACATAAAAGATCAGCCTGGAATCACTTCTAGCAATATGCTGGTTGTGGTCAATAGGTGCTGGCACTATAGGCTCATTCACAGTGTTTGCACTGCCAACTGAATCGTCTTGTGGCAGTGTGTCAGTAGCAGCATTGATCTCCAGCAATGATGCTAGCTCGCCTTGGTCGAAATTCCCCTGGCTAACTGTTTTCACGAGACCATAGAATGACAGACAAGTAATAGTTAGCAAAAAATGAGTTGGCGGGGGGTGGTCGTTGCTGCCGGATGACTGATGTATAATACCAAATAAATTTTCTAATGGGTCTTGGCTGGTCTTTGATATCATTATGTATTTAAATGCTACTTTCCCTGTCAAATAAGAAAGCATTCCTAGCACACTGGTTATAGTCACACGCAGTCCAGTCACGTAGATTATATGCCCGTAGTCCCGTAGCACATACTTCGGCTGAAAATGAAGGTCACACACGGCAGATGTGTCGTCCAGGGCTTTGTCCGCTCGATGCAAATTTCTTTCCCATTGCTTCTTTGGGGCTGCATCCTTCAGAACGCCCAACAAAGACGGCTTCTTGCTGCCCTTCACGTGGACGTAACCTGTAAGACAGCCTGGCGCAAAACAGTGGTTTTGCCTCCGCGGAAGCATTTTAACCTCGTTTGAGGGTCACTGCTTGTCAGGCCACATCACTGTTCGCCGAAGAACCTAGGGGATTGAGGATGCAAAGCGCGACAAGTTCTCAAAGTAACAAAACTCGCACACACCGACCGCCACTCCAAACAGGCAGCAACTGCCCCAGCGCCAACGCTCGCTACATTTAATGCGGCGGTAGCGCCGCGCCACAGAGGCGCGCCGAAGCACGTTTGTGTGAGATTGGCGGCGTCACCGCAATGCATGGCGCCGGCCGGCGAGTGAGCCCACTACCCTATTCTAGCTCACTTTACGCCCACTGCAGGATAAAGGTACGCTAGAAGCAACGTTTATAGACTAGTTGCAAAACACTCCACACGTCAGACTACTCGTCACACGGCGCCGGGACAGCTTCCGGTTTGGTAGCGCTGGCGGCGCAACAAGCTTCCGCTAGCAGACGAAAACGCGTAGTCGTCGTGGCAAGGCGCCGTGGCGGCCGTTCTGATGCAGCTTTGCCAACAGTACATTATCGAGATTTGTTGTGCCACCGCATGAACTTATTACTGCGTAATATTTAGCGGTGTAAGGCAAATACAGTATAATTATGGTTTTCTGAACTGCCCAAAATAAACAATGCTTGATATATATAGCATAACATACGAGTCTGTCGGTTAGTTGCTAGTTGGTGTACGCTCGCAATAGATTTTTAGACGCGAAAACGCCAATTACAATGTCTGGCATCCTCTTTTGTGGCTGTGTTTTTCGGGCTTG